GAAGTCATCGTAACCTGCGAATAGGAGACGACCGGAAACAGACGTGGCGACGGAGGTGATGCCGCATAGAATAGACTCGGACTGATATCTCAAAGGTTAGCGCCTCAGGTTGTCAGATCGGTTCGACGGTGGCTGGACTTACGCCGTAAACGTTGAGTTCCCTGTCAGCACGGATATCGAAGAGACGGCAGGTTGCGTCGTCTGAACCGGTGACAAAGGAGTGGCCGTCAGGGAAGAATTGAATGGCGTTGATGTCGGACTCGTGACCCGCAAAAGTCTGCACAGCCTTGCCAGCTCGGATATCCCAGAGTTTGGCGAAAGCGTCGCAAGCACCGGAGATGAATGTGTTCTGGTTCGTCGGGTTGAGGCTGATGCTCATCACATCGCCAAGGTGGTCGGCAAACTCGATTTGCTTCGTCCCGGTCTCGATGTCCCATTTCATGCACGTCATGTCGCCAGAAGAGGTCAGTATGCTCCGGTCATTGATGAAACGGCAGCAGGACAGGTAGCCAGCATGGCCGGACAGTTCGCGGGCAACACGCGTCGGCCCGTCTCGATTTTGGTTGAGGTTGTAGATGGAGCAGATGTTGTCGAGGCCACCGCAAGCGACGTAGTTACCGCTGGGTGCGTAGGCACATGTCATGACCCATGAGGACCTTAGAGGGATGGCGTGGACCTTGTTGGTTGTGTATGCATCCCAGATAATCAATTTACCATCTTGTGAAGCCGACACTAGATGTCTTCGGTCTGTCGACCAGTGCATAGCATAGATCTTGGCCAAGTGACCCTTGAGTGTCCTTTTCGTCTTCATCAACTGGTTCTTGGGGATCTGCTCGTGGGCTTGCTGCGAAACAGCGCGAACTATCAGGGGCGGTGTCAGCAACGGCAGGTGATTGAGAGGCAATTGTTGTTGGCCCTCTTATCAATTGCGAGGTACGGTCGAGATAGGGGGAATCTTACGAGTGGTGTCGGCAAGCTCATCCTTCTTCCTCTTGATACGATCCTTGAGTGTCTCTGCCTCGCGACGCGCTTGTTGGATCCGCGCCTGCATCGCTTCTGGCGATACATCGTTCGGTCGTTGCGAGTCCATCTTGCCGTCGCTCGCTCAGCCGCAGGAATGAAAGGCGGCCAATGAATCGATCGAGTTGATGGAATTGAAGGCGATGGGAGATGCCCGTAGAGGCGAGGGAATGGAAGGCCGGGTGAGCGGTCGGTGAAATCAATCGAGGGTTGGTGGTGGTGGCTTGTCAATCAGGATGGAGATGGAGAAGTGGCCGGTTGGATGGGCTGGGATGTTGTGGGAGAAAATGCAGAGCAGAGCAGCAGCAGCAGCAGGCAGTAGCAGCAATAGCAGCAGAAGCAGTAGCAACCAAAGCTACCGGTCGATTCCAGGGGTTAGACCGCTACCAGAGGGCAGCTGGGGAGGACGGACCAGTCAGATTGGGCTAGACGGGCCCCTTAGGAGGAGGGATTATTGCTGGTTGCGACGGCTGGGTGATAGGGTAGCCGGGACTGGGTGGATGTGGAGAGGCCTCAGAGACGGTCCCAATTTGCAACGCAATTCGACCCCGGCGACGATCCGAGAGTTTGGAAGGACGACCGAAATGGGGCTCCTCTCTCGTGACTCCAGTCGCTGGTTGATTCGTTCAATCCGGTCGAACACAGACGGGACCGGGAGTTGCGCGGCGGGTGGTCAAGCAGAGCAGAGTAGAGCAGAGCAGAGCGGGAGATGGTCGAGGGAGGGCTGGTGGCTCCAAGGATTTGACGAGTGATTGGTAATTGGGAAATGGGAGGCAGTGAGGGACAAGGCAGGCAGAGGGAGAGAGGAGAGAGAGGAGAGAGACACAGACAGCCAAGACTTTCAAGAGGCAGACTTTCAACCGGGATCGAAGAACCCAGAGGAATGGAAATGGGTCAGGGCAGAATAGGACAGAATAGGGCAGGACAGGACAGGACAGACCCGACCAGAGAAAGGACTAGACCAGTGAATTGGTTTTGGTAAGCCGTGGACGAAGCTGACGAAAGACAAGACGACGAGTGAACCTTGGGGCGCTGAGAAAAGGGCAGATCAGTCGACGAGCACGGCAGACAGGACAGGCAACGGGTAGGGTAGGGTAGGCAGGACTTGGTAGGGTAGAGAGCAGGGCCGTGGGATGCGAGGGAAGGGTGATTGGATTTTCAGGGCGGGAAGGGGCGGACAGGGGGGGTGGGAAGCCAAATTACAAAGCTGCCCTTGATTTGCGGAAGCTGGGGGAGGAGCGAGGTTCCCTCTTGCAACGACTGGGGGGGATGGTGTGTTCGCTGCTCACGACCAACGAGATTGGGCATGGTCGGCCGTCTCTCCGTCTCTCGTCTCTCGTCTCTCGCTCACGCCCACACACACACACACACACACGGACAGGGAGCTGGAGAAGAGCTGGGCAATGGGGCATGGGAAGCTTTTCGACCCTCCCGGGTGCGGCAGCCAAGCATGACTACTGTACCGGCAACTTAGGTAAGTAAGTAAGTACCGTCTGTCTGTCTGTCTGCCCTCATGTACTGTGTGTGTATTGATTGAGGCATCAGACTATGTGTCCGTGGCTGATGACCTTCGGGTCAATTGGCTCCCAACCGCCCGGTCTGCCTGCCTATCTACGCAGCCGGAGAAACAAGTGCATCTGGATCATAAGCAACATCATGGTGGTTGCCCAGGAAGACTAAACCCACAGCCTGCATACCCAGGCATCCAGGCACAGTACCTGGTCGGGTACCTGGTCTACCAGCAGCACACTGTACCCAGGCAGAGGCAGGGTTTCGCTGATGGACCGCTTCTGGCAACGAGCATCTCCGAAAGACCTGATCAGAGATCAAAATTGTGCAAATTGCACGCAATGAATTCTACGAGACGAGGTCGTATCCACGCCATGCCAATCCATCCGTCCATCCATCCATCCATCCACCCACCGTCCATCCACCTGTCCGTACACCTGTCCGTCCTCCACAAAATGCAAAAGAGGAGACGGGTTTGATTTGGGGGCGCGACACAATCCTGGTATGGTCAGAGCGCAAGTGCTGCTAGCACCTCGCTCTCTGGCTCGTCTGGGTCCCCCTCTGGTCATCTGTCATCCCCGCCAGGCCCGCCCAGGAGTGACCTCGTCTAATCTCAAAATTGCTACCCGTTTATGTTACTATTAGACCGTCTCCAGCTGCACCCCACTTTCCACTTTCTCCCAGTGGATCCCACGCCGACTGAGCTGCAGGTCAATGGACGGGAGAGCTCCATCAACCTTGGAACACAGCTCTCTGAAGGTTTGTCCTCATCTGGCCAGTTTCATCACCCTCCCACCCTGGGGGACCTGGCGGCACCACCGTCCAATCTTGCCAGAGGGAATCTGGACAAACGGGGATAAACGAAGACAAACAGCCCTTGACAAATTCGGAAATAGCTTTCGCGACGTTGCGTCGTGCGTACAGTATTGGTAGTGTGTCGTGCGTCGTGCGCCGTGCGGTGCTATGGCTCTTGCTCGTCAAAACTCATTCGTTCACCGACCGCGGAGACCTGTAGGCCTGGATGCCTTGCAACAACTCCCGCAACGGCCAGTGCATTCGCACTGGGGGGCCAAGATTTAGAGTTGTGCCTTTGTCCCGACATTCTTCCGCACCCTCTCTTTGCTGTGTGTCTCTGTCGCATTCTTGAGACGTTTCGGAGACTTTGGAATCGTCTCTTCCCGGTCTGTCAATCACTCCACGCCCGCCGTCGGGATCCACGCCCAGCTGCCCATCCGTTCCCGTCTACTCGCAACCTAAATGATAAACACAGCACCCGAGCTTAGGATGCATTGTAATAAGCATTGTGGGTGCTCCCGTCGGTGGCGTAACCATGACCTGACAGTAGATGAGAGAAACAAGCTCGGTGTTGCGTTTCCCATGGCGGAATCCGTACTCCCTCTGGCTGCTACACTCGGGTTACATCCTGGCTGCTTAGCTGCCCTTCCCACTGTGCCACAAAATTGTCTGTATTTGCTTCCGACCCGCGGCCGCCTCCCAACTTTGATAATACTCCAGGACCCTCCTGGGGAATTCTCGTGTGACGAGGTGGTTCTTAATAAGTGGCAAAACCTTAGTAACAGGTAGACTGACTAGTCTACTGTACTGCTTCAACATGTTTCCCGCGGTGTACCCCCAGGGTGACAATCCTATCTACCGCGCTTCAAGAGCTTGCTTGGGCCCGACCGACCACCTATTTACTTGCATGCAAGCTTGTGGGTATGTATGTGCGTGCGTACGTACGTATGTATTCATCTCGCGCTCTTGCTTTGTGTCCAATGGCGGGAGAACCATCTCGGGCTGCCCATACTGGATTTGCTTTTATTGCGAACTTGTTCATCAATGATCGCCTTCGCTTGCATCGCATCCCATCTGCCCTTGCAGATTCTCTGCGGCTTCCATGCTGGGGTGCGCGGTGCCTGCGCCTGCGCTTCGCCGTTGTCCGTTCCCCACGCTCCATCCTATATGCGGGTCTCGCAAGTTGCGGGTCTCGCGAGATGGTGACATGGCTCCCGCTGCTTCCGCCGAAATACCCCTGGCCGTGCATCTCCGAAGTACGAGAGCATAGTCTAGCTGGGTAACAGTACACCTTTATCTCAGTCTCGCAAAGCAGTGGCTCATCATCTCAAAGAATTCAGCATCATGCGTGCCTTTGGATTTTTCTTAAAAGCCAAAAAGTACTACCACAACTTGATCTTGAACACTGACTCGTCCCCTTGATCGTTGTGGTTCTCATGCATCTTAACTCCATAGGTGCCGACTTTTGGGCTGTCCAATCCAGCACACTTCAGCCACATGATATCTGGTATTTTCATCCTGTCCACCAACGCCATGCAATGCCAGAGTGAAATATTCCTTTCCTTCCGGTAGGGGAACCTCATGGTGAACCACCAAAGGTTGTCAAGAATCAATGAAATACACTAAGCCCGTCCGCGTCGAGACCGCCAGCCACTTGTCCAAGGCCAGTAACTGCTCTAGCCTAGATACGACGAATACGCAGAGCCAGCACCGTACTGCGCCTTCTTCCGAGGTGGCTGTGGAGCGTCCTCGTCATCTGACAGCGTCAGGTCGATGACCTCTGCATGAGGCCGCTTATTGCCTCCCGACCTCGGCATCGAAGAGCCTTCGCGAGAAGCCGCGGTGACTGGTGTTGGAGTGCTGGTGGTCGGTGCCAGGGTATTCGGTGTGTTTGTTCCGCGATTACCAACATAGCTGATCTCAGAGATAACCAAGTCATCGTCGTCGATGGCTAGGGCTTCGTGTTCGGGCTCTGGCTCCGCTTCCTCCTCGACGCTGCCATGAGCCTTCCACTGTCCGTTAGGTTCTATGTCGACTTGCTCCACGCTTCGAGAAGTCCTGTCCAGAATGTCCCTTACATACCTAAGCCAAGTTAGTTGCGTCTAATCAACTGTTGAGACAGACATGACTTACTCGTCTATTGCAAGTCTCTCGTATGGTGCACTTTTGCTGCAGACGGGACACAGCCATTGTGGGCCCTGCTGCTGCAATTGAAGGTACGAGGTGGCATCAAAACACTGGACATGGGTGCATGTGGTCGCGCGGCAGGGTGTGACGAGTCTCATGTACGAGAGGGGACACTTCAAAGAGAGAACCTGAGAAGACATCTCAATCTCCGCGTCGTGCGCTTTCCTAGTAACTGCAGAGAAACATGTGAGTGTAAGGCCTAGCAAACATAAAAGAGGGAAAGCACATTGCGCTTACGCTCGTGCAAGACGGAAGCTTTCGATATTTTTCTTGAAGTGATTGCCCGCACAAGAGTGTCGACTGGGGTCGTCTTGCAGACATTGACGACGAGATAGAATCTCTAGAGATTGAAGAACACGAGTTAGCATATGCCACCAGGACCTTGACATAAAGACGTCAAAGCAGGGCGAAGACGGGTTCGCCTGACTTGACCATTACTCTGAGAGGCCTTGTCACCTGCCTTCTGTGTCAACGCGTAGGTAAACTCGATGTTGTTGGTGTAATTGGGAATCTTGAGCCGAAGCAGATCCGTAATATCAACAGGCCTCGTAGAGCCTGGCTTGTTCTTCAGGCCTCTCAAGTTGGCCTTGACATCTCCTCCATTCACCTTCAGTTCAGACTGATGGGGGAACGCAATATCTTGTGGGCCCGTGTTGGCTCCAGCACAAAACACCATCACTCTCATATCCTTTTCTGTGACACATCGTCCAAGGAGTGGATTGTCTTGAGCCTTGATCTGGATAGTGGTGCAGTTCCTGTGACTTTGCATAACTGTACTGACCGTTAACTCCGTGAAATGCGTGGAGCGCTTGGGGCTTTACCTTCACAAGTTTGAACGGGCCCTATCCTGCCCACGATGTGATAGAAGGGGCTTGAGCGGAAAGTGAATCCTTGGACGTTCAGCACGCGATCAGGCCGAAGCGCAGAAGGCCCAGATGAGTTGAACATACCCTGTGGAGGCATCTGATGCGACCGCTGACCATTGACGCCTCCGTAGCCAGGGTAGCCATTCTGGTAACCGTAGTTGTTCATGTTGGGAGACACGCTTTGCGCGTTGTTGGGAACAGGTAGGGTCGACGGAAGGGATTCATGGGGTGCAGGAAGGCCGCCGTTCTTTTCGCGATATACGCTTTGCTCGATGTCGCGGTACGCCCGGGGGTCACCTTGCGCGTAGGCCTTTTCGAGTGCTGTACGAGCGGCCGAGTCAGCCTCGAGTCTAGAAAAGCGACAACCCATCTCATCTCGCCGCCTTGTTGCAGCACGATGCAATTCTCAAGCCAGAGAGGGATATCCAGTCGAAACTGGTAGCCGTTGGGTGTTGGGGGTGGGGTGGTAGCGTAAAGGGGCAGACGAGCTCACCTTCGAGGATGCGCCTTTGCAGCTCCGCCTTGACTCCCGAAGTCCGCAATCCGTTTACAAGGCAAATGTGCTGCAGTTGTTTTTTCAGGAGATAGTTGCTGCTCTGCAGACGCTTGACCAGGCTACGATATTGGTCAGGCGGAGGGAGCGAGTTGTTCGAATCCATGTTGGCCTTGGAGGAGTGCGTTCGCGGTGCGCAAAGGGAAAGAGCGATCACCAGCGCGAGAGGGCATCAAAGCGCTACAAGAGTTGATGGACCGCAGACGGCCATCACCAACCTGGCCGGTGAGGTACACAAGATAATGCAGAGAAAACCTCGGGGCCTTCTAGATGGAAACTCTCAGGCCGAGCCTCGACCCTGGCACAGTGAGCGTGCTTTTGGTTTGCTCTGCAGGACGTCGTACAGTAGATCGACAACCGTCTGAACTAGGAAGGCGGTCAAGGCAGCCGAAAAGATAAGACGGCTTATCAGTAAGTTGCGAAATCAGTCTCGAGAAATTTCCCGACATTTTTGGCTTGGATTTGGGGAGTCTGCATGTTCAACATCTCCACGAACAATTGGACTTGGAACAAACAGCCCAAAACACACCCATAACGAACTAAAAATGGCCAAATCTCAACGATCGAGCGTCACGAAAGCCAACAATCAGCGGCTCAAAAAGAATGTATTTGGTCCAGTAGAGGCGGCAAGGCAACAGCGCCTCTCGGCGAAGCTTCTCGAGATCGCTTCGCAACCCAAGCCTGTGCCCGAGAAGGAAATGAAAGATGCGGCCGAGCAGGGTATGTAAACAACCTGAGCGGCGAACACTGCCTCAGGAGATCGGGCCCGTGGCTGACGTTTTCTTCGACAGGTGAACCAGATGAGACCAAGGCTGCTGGTGAAGCCAAGCCAGAAGACAGTAAGATCTCTAGATGATTCGCGCCCGGCCTTGACGATAACTAACTCGGGATCTCCACTGCAGCGACCATGGAAATCGATCAGACCTCAAAATCTACCAAGTCAAAAGCGAAGGGCAAGATCGTCAAGAGACGAGGACGGAAATCCAACATTGTCTTTCCGAAATTCGGGGACCGCAACAAGAAGAAGAGGTGAGGGGATTGAGCGGCAACGAATACATGACGATTCAGGAAAGATGTGTACAGAGCCGGCCCAGCTTTCCACGAGGTCGTCGGCGAGGGCGAAGGCATAAAGGAGTGTCGCGCCCATCATGCAGCTCGCAAGGAAAGGGATTCCAAGCCCTCTACCTCTCTAGCCGTCCACTGGGCGGAAAGCCTGGGAAATTCCTCTGACGACTATGGAAAAAGCAGCTGCGGTATAGCCTGACAGGTCTTGTGCGACAATCTAGAGGTGTATGGGATGTCATATCAGGCTCATTTCTTCACAGGTTTGGGTACCTAAAAGGTACCGCTTGGGATCCCTGTTAGGTGTGAAAAAGATGGCAGGCAGTTGGGGAAGCTAGGGGCGTTCGGATAGCGCCCGTTAGGGGCTTGGCCATTTCCTTGCTTGCCCCCACACTGACTCCACCTGGACAGAAGCGCGAATGCAAGGCTGATGAAGGATCGCCAATTCCACCAAATTGTCCAGCTGGCCTCGCCAAGCTGCAAAGAATCACAGCTTGCCATAGAATGAGCCACCCAATGTACAAGCTTGCACACATCCCATGCGAAAACCTCCTGACTGCAATGGAGCGTCCTTCTGAACCTGCTTAGTGCTATTTCTTTCTAACACACTCTCTCCCTCTCCCTCCTCCCAGCCACCTGGGCAATCCGTGCCGGTTCGCGCCTGAAATGCAGGGCCCTCGAAATGGCTCGACGACTCTCTCGACAATCCTGCTCGTCACAGCGAACCTCCTGATCCCAGTTGCGATACTTGTCTTCGCAACAGGGTTTTTCCCTTACAAGCCATTGCTCCCGGGTCTCGCAGCCTACGACAACTCCAAGTATGGACCGCCACCAGCTGCGCCATTCGACCGGGTGGTTTTCATGGTTGTAGACGCACTGCGCAGTGACTTTGTGTACTCGACCAACTCGGGCTTTCGATATACACAGTCTCTGATACGTGATGGATGCGCGATACCCTTCACGGCGCACGCGACGTCGCCCACGGTCACGATGCCGCGCATCAAGGCCATCACGACCGGATCGATCCCATCCTTCCTGGACGTCATACTGAACATTGACGAGGGAGATGAGTCGTCGTCACTGGCTTCTCAGGATACGTGGCTTGCGCAGATGAAGGCAAAAAATACCGGCAAGCTGATCATGTACGGGGACGACACCTGGCTGAAGCTGTTCCCCAATTTCTTTGACCGTGCGGATGGGACCTCGAGCTTCTTCGTCGCTGACTTCACCGAGGTGGACAACAACGTCACAAGGCATGTCGCGGGTGAGCTCCAGAATGACGAATGGAACACAATGGTATTGCATTACCTCGGACTGGATCACATAGGCCACAAGGGTGGACCACGCAGCTCGAACATGCTTCCAAAACAGGCCGAGATGGATGGTATTGTGGAACAAATCTACGCCGCAATCGAATCGCAATCCCATCTTGAATCAACATTGTTTGTACTACTAGGGGACCACGGTATGAATGATGCCGGAAATCATGGTGGCTCAGCACCGGGCGAGACTTCTCCAGCGTTGGTGTTCATATCCCCAAAGATGAAGTCACTGAAGACCAGATTCGATGTGCCCTTGGAGGTTCAAGAGGACTTTGAATATTACTCCGTTGTTGAGCAATCTGATCTTGCTCCGACCCTCGGGGCCCTGCTCGGTTTCCCTGTGCCAAAGAACAACCTTGGGGCATTTATCGTGGACTTTTTACCATTTTGGTCCAGCAGGGACGACCAGATACAGATTCTCATGCGCAACGCTGAGCAGATCCTGACTATTATCACCACCACATTCGGAGCAGAGCTCTTCGATGCGAAAGGTGGCGTGGACCCTTGCCTCCAGCAGGACACCGAAATTCAAAAGCTGGCCTGCGGCTGGCGTCGAGTCGCTGAGTCTGCTGGAACCATGACAAGCAATATCGATGTAGACGAGATATGGATTTCCACCATGTCAGAATGGCTGAGAAATGCGCAGGGCCTCTTGAGCAGCATGGCCAGTAATTATGATATGGCGAGGCTTTCCCTTGGCCAAGCAGCTGCCGTCACGGCTACACTTCTGGCCGTGTATGCGACGTACTTGAATGCTGGAAAGCTCTCAATGAGAGCTGTGCCTCTGACGGTCATCACTACCTCATATGGCGTTATGATGTTTGCCAGTAGCTACGTGGAAGAGGAGCATCACTTTTGGTACTACGCAACAACAGCTTGGCTCGCATTCATCAGCAGCAAAGGCTTCCACGCAACCTCGAAGTCTGGAGTAGGGCAAGCTGTGGCAGTAGCCACTGTCGCCACGGTGACGCGGATCATCAGGGGATGGAATCAAACGGGCCAGAAGTTTGCCGGAGAGCCTGATATTGTCAAATCCTTCATTGTCTCCGAACCAATCCGTCTCTGGGCTCTCATCAGCATAAACTACCTCTGGATCCACCGCACGCTTCTGCAAGGCTTCGACGGCCTGCCCGCCTCCCTCGACATCTTCGGGAGTACAGCCCTAGTCCTGGCCGGCTTCACATTTAAGCTCGCCTTCACCAACGAAGATGCCCCTGAGCTCGTCACCGGCTTCGCCCGGTCCCTTGTGGGTGTCACGGAAGGCATCTCACTCGTCTCGCGTGCACAGGCAGTCTTTGTCGGGCTGGGGCTCGGCGCTGCGGTCGTGGTGTACTACATCGCCACCAACAGCAAGGTGTCGAAGCGCGCCTCCGCCGTCGAGACCTTGCATCACCTATACACGCTGCTCGCCATGACGCAGTCCCGCGCGACGAACATCCCCTTGTTCCTGCTCTTAGACATCCAGTACAAGTTCCTCGCGGCGCAGGACCTCTCCCTCGCGGAGCTGTCGACCACGTCGCTCCTACTCCAGTATATGTCCTTCTTCGCCCTGGGCGGCACCAACGCCATCTCCAGCATTGACCTATCTAGTGCTTATAACGGCGTACGGAACTTCGACGTCTTCACCGTCGGCGTGCTTACGTTCGTCAGCAACTGGGCCGGCCCTCTGTACTGGGTGTCCGCCACCAACGTGCTTCTGGTGCGCAAGAGGAAGACTGGTGTAGAGAGAAACGTGTATAAGCGCCATGTGACGCTATTGACTGTATTTGCGGCAGCGAGTGTGGGCTCCGTGATGGCAGCGTGCACGGCGCTAAGGACCCACTTGTTCATCTGGACAGTGTTCTCACCCAAATACCTGTATTGCATGGCTTGGAGCTTGGGACAGCATCTGGTCGTGAATGTTGGGCTGGGCGGTTTGTTATACTGGCTGGGCTCGAGACAGTAATTCCCTGACATAATTCAAATACCAATAATTGCGAAATAGAATGAGAGGTAGATTCACAACGAGATCAGATCAGTGCAGATGCTTGATTCTTGAAGATGTTTAATATGTTCATCAAATTCAACTTGCATTTCTCATCAACACAGCAACGGATTTGACCTCCGCCCAGAACCAATCAGAGTAGCAATCCCTGATCCAAGCACCCATGTGCAGATTTACATACTCAAGGAAAGAAATTCGTGAAAACCGTGACATGAGCTCGACCAAGCCTTTTCAGCTCATGATAGTATCACCGTCATCGTCCAGCAGCTCGCTCACTAATGAGTCTCCGTCGCCAGCTTCCGTGACGTCCTCAGACTTTGGTTTGACCGTGTCGTTGCTATCATCGGCCTCCAGTCTTGACTCATTGTCCTCCTCATCCTCCTCCTTGATCCGTGGTTCTTGCCCAACCATCGTCCGGTCCTCAGCCGCCGCCTCCGGTGCCAGTGACACACTACGACTGAGAGTGGACCTTCGGAAGCCCGCCTCCTTCTGCTGATCGAGGCTGTTGACAATTTTGCCGAGACTAACGTGGATCTTGTACAAGGCATTGCGGCCTGTAGTATCTGAGATGAGGTTGGTCTCCACAGCGTCAGAGACCTCGGCGTAGAGTTCGCGCAGCTTCTCCTCGGTGGAGGCGGGCGAGATATACAGCTTGCCGAGCAGGGCGGCAACAACTTTCTTTTCTTCCTCTGTGATGGCCATGGTGTCAGTGGTCTTATCGAAAAGACTTCAATAAGATCTGTCATATGTTCGAGACACTTACTGCTGCAGTTTGAGTCCAATCTTTCCAGCACATTCCTCGCAAACTCAAGATGAATGTCGCCGTTGACATTTGTCTTCTTCTCCGCATCGGCACCCAGATCAGGGGAGAAACATTTTCGTGGATCCGTCCAATCCACCAAGCAAGCACCAATGGTTGAGAGACTGACCATCTCGTCGTCAACGTCCGCGTCATCGTCCTCTAGACCCTCCCTGACATTGTACAGCGCATGCAAGGCATCTAGTGCCACTGATCGCATTAGATCCTGGTTCTCCGGGCGCGAGTAACAGAAGACCGGCAGAAAGTAGTTGAGGGCCTGTCGCACGCTCTGATTTTGCGAGCTTGCTGGTTCGAAATAGGCAATGACGAGTGTCTTGAGTAATTCAGCGGAGGCGTCGCTGTCCGTAACGACACGGCCGAGCAAAAGCTTCGATGCTGCAATGGTTGCAACGGCCTGCACTTCGGGCGATTTTGCGCCTGACCTCAGAGCCTTGATATAGACCTTCAAGAGATTCGGGTTGTTAGACAAGAGCTGAGCACCATGGACGTTGAGGATGTCCGTAAGGATGTGCAATGCTGTGATCTGGAGGGCGGTGTGGCCCTTGCTGAAGAAGTGTATGAAGAGCGTCAGGTTCTCCTCGGCCAGTGACCTATCCAGTAGGGAGCAGAGACCTAAACATAAAAGACCACGCTCGCGCACAGGCGCTTCGTGACTGCGAACAGCCGGGACTACCAGATTGTTGAGCATGGATACCAAGTGGTCGTTCTCCTGCAGGCTACCGGCGACGTTGGTCAGCATGCACTGCACGATATGAAGACACTTCATGTTGATGACGATTTCCTTGACCGCCTTGGCGTGAGCCTCCTCTTCTGTTACCTCGCTGTCTTTGTCATGCTTTCCGCTCTTAGCAGATTCTTCCTCGTCGTCAACCTCGGACTGGGCAGAATGGAAGCTCTCATTATCGTTGGGCTCGTCCAAGATCGTATCGTGCACGTCTGCCACGGCTTCAAGAACGACACTGCAGAACTCACGCTCGCCTGCATTGTCAGGCGCGCAAATGTCCCGCAGCACGTTGACGGTGAGTTTCGTAACCTCGTCCGGAAGCTCAGGGATGGATAGTGTTTGTCTGAGCAATGAGAACATCTTTCTGCGGCCAACTTCGTCGGAATAGTCAAGAGTCAGTGCGATGTGCAGGAGTTGCTCCACAATAAACTCCTGCTCCACGGTGTCCTCCTCCTCGTCTTCTTCCTCGGGTTCCTCTCTCTGCTCTATCCTCTTCAATGCATCCGTAAGGACCTTGACGTATCGCTCGAGATAAAATCCCAATTTGGTGACCTCAGGTAGTTTCTCTTCCACCAACTCTTCGTATTTGCCGTTGCCCTCATTTCTGCAGAACTCGTTGAAGCTCCGGGCCATGAATACAGACTCGGCAGAAAGTGTATTCCAGAAGTTGTCGTCAAATGTCACACCCTCCCTGTAATCTGGTCGTCCTTCCCAGAACCCCCTCATAGCCTCCAGGCCAACTCCGTTCTCGACACCGGAGTTGACTACGTCGATACGCTCAAGAAGCTCGAGCAGACCATCGAAACTTGGCGCAGGCAGCTCAGTAGGCTGTCCATCGTCGTTCAAAGGCGGCGCGCCCGCACAGTCCTCGATCCACCGCTCACGGAAGAGCTTGCCTGCCGCCTTGCGGACAGTCTCGTCGCGATCCCTCAGACCCCAGCGCAAGAGCTTTTCTCGCATGGAAAGTGACAGATGCCTGAAGTCCCCAAGGGCTGGTAGGAGACGGGAGTATACGGCACGCCGGGTCATGGCATCTTGGTCTCGAGCCCTTTCCAGCAAAAATGGCAACGTATTCGGCAATATCGGTAGGTTGACAAGCAGGGACCTTCGGACATCTGCGCTTGGGTCATTCTGGAGCACCTCGAGGAGTTTCTCCAGCAAGCCACTCGCTTCATCTCCATCGCTGTCGGAGTTGGCCTCAGCCTCGATCTGGTTCCCTGCTAAGCGGCCGAGACCGAGGACCGCCTGGGCGCGGATCATGGCCTCCTTGTCGCGAATTCTCTTGAGTAGACCATAGCGGAGTTTCTGGAAAAGATCGTCATCGATGGCATCGAGGGAGTTCACAATGTGGGCGATGAGCTGCGTCGACCTATATCTGACAAACTTGTCCTTGGCCATCATCAAAGGTAGGATAGCGTCCATAAGGCGCGAAGTAAGCCTCGTACTCGGCGTCTCAGGCATTGTGCTGGCGTCTTCGTCGACATTTCCCGCGAGCTCGTTATCCTTGTCTATGGAGTGCCGCATAAACACGCCAACAAATCGGATTGTCCTCTCGCCGACGGCCTCGCTCTTCCTGACGGGCATGACGCGCAGAACACATCGAATAAATTCGGTGTTGAAGTCATCTTCATCGAAGTCGCCTGCCGTAGCCTTCTTGGCACTGGTGGGTTCGTAGCAGCATGCCTCCTGCAGCTTGCGTAGCGTGACGGCCGATTTCCTGTGCGTCGCGGTATTTCTCTGAGCCTCGCGAAAAACTGCAGCTACCTGCGTTCGGAGTTCATTGTCTGGTGTTTCCTCTGGGACATCGAAAGCGGCCGAGGATGCACGCGATGCAGCGGTGGACGCGCGTGCGTTCGAGTTCGCGGCCGAGCTCCTCGTCGACGCGCGCGCCGACCGTGTTGATGTCCGAGGTGGCATGGCTGTTGGACTGAAATCGATGAAGTGAAGCTATGCGGAAGGGGAGTGGGTATTCAGATTGTTGTGGATCGGAGGGTCGCTAGATTCGTAAATAACTAATTATTGGATGATAGCACATTTGAAGTGGTCGGATGGGGAGGCACATGTAAGTAAACACAATGGCCTGGGATCAGATTTGACACACCCTTCCTTTCTCCCTCCGTTTGTCAGGTTCGGAGGCGCGGTCGAGGTCTTCGCCTTGTTGTGTCAACATAGAGAATGCGGGCGTGGGTTACCCCGGCAAGTCCCACCTCCGATAAGCTCTAGCGTAGGGTCTTATCGGGAAAAGTTTCTGGGTCTGCTTCCCTGCTCTCCCAAACTTTTTTCCTCGCCCTCCTGCAAACAAGCCACCAACTTTCACAAAAACCACACCCACGGTTCAGCTGGCTCCCAAGATGGCCAAGTCGACAGGGCAGAAGAGACGTAGGGAGGCGGAGGCCGATCTAGAGCAGCAGGGCGCCGCAACGAAAACTCAAGATGGCCCGCCATCCAAGAAGAGCCGTGTTGAGGAGCGACGATCCCTCTTTGTGAGGTCTCTTCCGGCCTCAGCAACCGCCGAGTCCCTGACCGAATTCTTTTCGCAACACTATCCCGTTAAACATGCAACTGTCGTCGTCGACCCTAGGACCAAGGAATCCCGTGGTTATGGGTTCGTCACATTTACAGACGCCGACGATGCTGTCGAAGCCAAGCAAAAGCTCAACAACGAGCTCCTTGGTGGTCGCCGCATGAAACTGGAGGTCGCCGAGCCGCGACACCGTGCAAGTGGTGACAGTGCTGCCAAGTCCCATATCGCAGAGGAGAAGAAGAAGCGGGAGGAGGATATGGCAGAGGCTAGGAAGGCTCCCAAGCTTATTATTCGAAACTTGCCCTGGAGCATCAAGAGCTCGGAACAGCTCACCAAGACTTTCTCCAAATACGGAAAGATCAAGTTCGCCGACTTGCCAAACAACAAGGGAAAGCTCAAGGGTTTCGGTTTTGTCACCTTCCGCTCAAAGAAGCATGCTGAGCGGGCTATGGAGGAGATGAACGGCAAGGACGTCGATGGGAGGACCATTGCTGTGGATTGGGCGGTCTCGAAGGACGAGTGGCAACAGCAACAAGGTCTTGAGGCGGATGACGAGGCGAAGGATGAACCCAAATCAAAGAAGTCAAAGAAAGAAAAGTCGGGCGAAGATGATGATGAGGATGAGGATGAGGAAATGAAGGACTTGAACGAGGAGGACCGAGATTTAGCCATATTCATGAAGAAGATGAATGAGCTCGAGTCCGAGGACGAGGACGATGAGGAAGGCGGAGGTGAGCTTGATGAGGACGAGGACGAGGATGAGGACGAGGATGAGGACGATGATCTCGAAAGTGACGCCGAAGAAGAGACAGAAGAACAAAAGCCCAAGCGCCTCACGGACAACTCTACGACCATCTTTGTCCGCAACCTTCCCTTCACGGCTACAGACGACTCCCTGAAGGAGCACTTCACGAAATTCGGCCCTCTCAGGTACGCGAGGGTTGTTATGGACAAAGCAACCGACAGGCCTGCTGGCACTGGATTTGTTTGTTTTGTCAACGAAGACGACTTCAAAGCTTGCTTGAAGAATGCCCCACGGCAACGACAAGCTGTCAAGACTTCCAAGACCTCAGTCCTCCAAGACGACACTGTTGATACTGACGGGCGCTACACTCTCGACGGCCGTGTCCTATCGGTGGCCCATGCTGTGAGCAAAGAAGAATCGGCTCGACTCACCGAAGCGGGGCCTGCGGCCCGGAAGGGACAGGAAAAGGATAAGAGGCGTCTATACCTCCTCTCCGAAGGCACTATTCCCAGCGGATCCCCTCTTTACAAACTGCTCTCCCCGACAGAGGTAAAACTTCGTGAGCAGAGCTTACAGCAGCGAAAGAAGCAAGTGCAAAGCAATCCCAGTCTGCATCTGAGTATGACGCGATTGGCGATCCGCAACTTGCCTCGGAACATGTCTTCCAAGGAACTCAAGCAACTTGCCCGACAAGCTATTGTCGGCTTCTCCGCGGACCTTAAGGCAGGCAAACGCACGCCGCTTTCCAAGGAAGAGCTCACACGGGGAGGAGCTGAGGATCGGGAAGCTGAGCACCGTCGTAAGGAGAAGGGCGTGGGCGTCGTCAAGCAAGCAAAGGTCGTCTTCGAGACCAGAGACGGCAAAAAAGTGGACGAGTCCACTGGTGCAGGTCTCAGCAGGGGCTATGGCTTCATTGAATACTCCAGCCACAGGTGGGCGCTTATGGGTCTGCGATGGCTGAATGGCCATCCGCTCAAAAATGAGGCAGGCAGGACCGTGCGGCTGATCGCGGAATTTGCTATTGAGAATGCTCAGGTGGTGAGCCGGAGGAAGGCAAATGAGATCAGGGCGAGGACCAAGCAGGCTGAGGCGCAGGACAAAGGCGAGCAAGGCAATAAGCCAGGACGTAAGGACGCTAAGGGAAAGGCAGTCAAGGGCAACAAGACTTCCAAGGCGTCGGCAGATGGAGGCAGTGAGGGAGAAGATGATGGCCCAACGAAGAAGGATGCCAAGGAGAAGCTGGCGCAAAGGCAGAGAATCATCGGGCGGAAGAGAATGGCTCGCAAGAACAAGAAGGGCGGTCGCTAGGCTTAGCTACGTCTTTTGATAGGTGAGGTGAGATATGGATATGGCATGTTCAGACTTCGCTTGAGATACCACCAAAAGAATCAAGTTATTAATTTGCCATCTTCTTCTCTATGATCTCACAACTTTGAAGCCTTTCTTGATTCGGCGCTGTCAAATCTTTTCCCCTCGTCATCTTGTTCCTTGACGGTCAAATCGGGGAGCTCTTCTGGCATGATCCTCCTTGGACTGCTTCCCGGGACGACCGAGTACTTCGAGAAGTCAGTTACACCTGCATGCTCCCTGAGGAAGTCCTCATCAAGCACGAGTTCCCCGTTCACAACCGACGCCGGCGCCTCGAGGATGGCCAATATAGCATCAGAGAAGATGGCCGGCCTGCGTAGGTCATTGGCCTCGTCAGGATTGTTCCGTGTGAACTGCGTCGTGGCGGCAGACTCGATGGACACCGCAGGCCATATGCTCGTAACAGCCATCCCACCCTCCCCATTTCTGACCAAGCCCTGCCTCTCAAAGTCCATCGCCAGGCCTTTGGTCAGGACACTCATCCCTACCTTGCCTATAGCATACGCCGTCTTCCCTCTGAAGAAGCGGCTATAGATGGGCGGGCTCACGATGATAATCCTGCCCCCTACTGAGCTCTTCTTCAGATGGGGGAGTGTGGCCTGAATTGCTCCGTAGAGTCCCTCGGGATTGACGCGCTGCATCAATTGGAAGCGCTTCATAGGGCTGTCTTCTACCGAGGCCCACCAGATGGCTCCGGAGTTATAGACGAGGACATCAAGGCGGCCATATCGCTGGTGTTATGCAGGTTAGCTACTTTGGCCCTTGAACATCCAGCTGATTGTTCGAGCACACACCTTGATGGTCTTGTCGACCAATTCCTGTACGCTGGTGAAATCCCGGACGTCGACGGCAAAAGCGGTCGCGTCACCGCCTGCTTCCTTGATCTCTCGCTCTACTGTACTGATTGTAGATTGGGGGGAATTAGGCCCTGGTGGAAAGGGCGTCTTGGGCGAATAGGCGTCACTCGTGGACTTGGCGGCCACGACGACTGCAGTCCACAGGAAGAGAAGGCGTTAGAAAATGTCGTTTTTTCTGTGCTTTTTTGGACTTCACAGCCTACCAGAATATTGACGTCTTGCCAAATCAATGGCAATCTGTCTCCCAATGCCCCTTGAGGCCCCAATAACAAGAGCTACAGGCTTCGCCTTGGACATTGTAACGATGTTGTTGAAAGTGGCAGTCCTGCTCCAGAAGACCGTTATTTCATCTTCGAGTTCGAAAATCAAGCCGCATAGTCTACATTAAAACAAATGGCCCAAATTTCGACGTACAAGAAGGAAAGACATGGTTCAAAGTTAAAGAAACCCTCGGTATGTGAGATTACTGATCACCTGGAGAAGCCGTGGGGTTGCGATTGGGGGAGCTACAGTACTGTGGGCGGGCACCCACCGTCTCATCGAACAGCCGAGGCACATCATCCTGGGACTCATACCTGCTCTCCGCAGCTGCTTGGTCAATATCAATCACGCAACTCAACCGTGAAACTAGACAAATCCGACAAGGCCGAAGTATCTTTCAAGCATCATGGGAGGCCGAATCGATTGCTATATTGACATTGGTAAGAGCCAGCTGTCCCGGAGATAAGGAGGTACTGTACACTCTCCGCGCCAGTTCACTGACATCCCATCTCGCAGCGTCCTTTTATAGCTACCTCGGCTTTGTGTACTTGGTAGAAAACCTAAGAACTCTCGAGTCTCATGGCGTCCAAGTAGAGTAGGTTGACCAATATGCGGCCACATGAATTCGTAGCTCATCATACGATGCCTTCAGGTTCCACCCAATCTTGCTGGGGGGCATCATGGCGAAGTCTGGTATGAAAGACACCGGCTCACTTCTCAGTGACAATTTACGCAAGTACTGTGTGTATAGCATTTACCGAAACTGACCTCCTTTATTCATGAAGGCAACAACCCGCCATGGTTTAATAAAGCGAAGGCGAATTATGGTACCATCGAGGGGAGGAGAGTAACGGCCTACTTCGGGAAATCAGAGATACAGTTCCCTGAGGATCTCATGCCGATGAGCCATACTATTCTCGTGAGCCCCAAAGCGATATTCCCTTTTGATGAAGAACATGTCATCTAATCAGACGAAAAGCCCTTGCGAGCTCTCCACTACATCAAGGCCAACTATCCTCGCGAGATATACCATGCTGTGTGGGCTCATCTGTTCCAGAGGTTCTGGACGCCTCCCAACCTCAACCTCACAAAGGTGGACGTCTTCGCGGACGTCCTCGCCGAATTCAAAGAGTTCACGCCTGAGGACTGCGAGAAGATACTAGCAGCCACGAAATCCCAGGAGGTCAAGGACGCGCTCACCAAGGCAACTCAGTCGGCGATTGACAAGGGAGCATTTGGCGCACCATGGTTGTGGGTCAGAAACGATAAAGGGGAGGCTGAGCCCTTCTTTGGCAGTGACAGGTATGTAGTTCTCTGTCAGTCAGTACATGATTTGTTGTCGGATGTCAAATTGACTTCTGCAAACCAGATTCCATTTTATATTCAAGCACCTTGGACTCCCTCATCAGGACATCGCTCTGTTGCCGCCAGGAGCCACTTCCAAGCTGTAGCAGGGATGGTCAAATTAGTTATGTGGTGTAATCAATAAATTCTTTGTAATTGCAAATTGGGTATCTCGAGTGATTTGTGATGTCCTGCGCCGTCCATAGCCCATAAAAACAATTTCAGATCCAGACCAAGGCTGTATGCCGTCCAGGGCAAGCAATACTGCACCCCCTGGCTCACACCTTGGAAGCTATCCTGGCCCGCCTCGCCTCCTCCTCTCTCCTAGCCTCGCTCCGCGCAAGGAAGTCTTGCCTGTCCGCAAATGCCCCCTTTGCCCTGCCCGCAAGTGCCAGCTCGTCCTTGATGCCTTCCTTATCGACAAACCCGGCCCAGTCCATGCGCGACTTCTCGACCGTGTTGAGCTTCTTGGCCTTCTCCTGCCTCGCCTGTAGCCTCATCGCCATCCCCAGGTTCAGGTCCGCCCGCTGGTTCTGCTCCCCGATATTTACCACGGGCTCGAAGATCGAGCGGAAGGCCTTGCGCGGCATGCGCTTGTCTGGCTGGTCGGGCTCGGCATTTTCGGCGTTCTCGCCCTGTGAGGCGAGGTATAATCTTGCTTCGGCGGAATCGCGCTGGACGAGCTTCTCTTCGGTGTGGACCTTGCCGGCAAAGTTGTACGTCCGCTTGATCTTGATCATGTCACCGGGCTCGCCATCCTTGCCAGCAGCCGCCGGGGCGTTCGACAAGCTGGAATCCCTTGGAGCATCACCATCCTCTCCTTGTGAGCTCACTTGAAGTTGTTGTTTCGTAGGTACGACTGGCTCGGCTGTCATCGAAGCCCATAGTGCATCGACGTCAACAGTCACAGGGCCACTCGCTGCTTGGGTCTTGCGCTCGGCTTTTCTGTAAGGGGCTCTCAGTCAGTCGTTGATCTTGCGGGCCGGCATTGCAAAAGGTTGCAGGCAGACACAACACAGATTGGGAGCACTCACTCTACAGCGCGCATGCTCCGCGTCTTGATCAAGCCGCCCTGCCCACCTTCATCTTCGTCGCGTTGCGCCTGACGGCCCTTCTTCTGCTTTTTCTTGCCCCTCCCAATGATCGCCTCGTCGCCAGAGTTTTCAAACCCTGCATCTTCTGCATCATCGCCATCGCCAGCCTGCGTTGGTCTTTTCCGTTTCACAGCCGCCGATTTAGCAGCATCGCCGGATGCTTCGTCCTCGTCGTCAGAAGAAGCGTCCCCGTGCCCAGGTGCTTCATCTGGCGCAAAATCCGAGTCCTCGGACGAGGCATAATCTTCGTCGTCAATCGTAGGTTCATGCGACATTTTGAGGCTGGGTCAAAGTGCGAGTGGCAAGTCGAAGCCAGTCTTGCAATCGATTGTCAAGCGCGCACCGGATTACAGGCCGTTGGATTTACGCAAAACAAGTTACTTGATTCAGACCAGGTCTACAAAACCTTGTTATTTGACACCACCCCCGGGCTGCTCTCAGAACTTGACATTCTCAGCCCCTGAATCGACAACGATCACGACTCACCATCTAGAGAAAAATGGAAAAAAAAAAATATGCCTTATACATGCAACAGGCAGGATTCGCTGGTCGTCACCGACCCAACTACTAATTGCCCTCTCACAAGCTTGATTACAGGAGAGCGAACGGGATCCGATATTTTCTTGTGGATATGGTCGCATGTGCTGGGTTGACATCAGTCGCAGTATCATGAACCTGGATCGAGAAAGTCGAATCTGGCCCGTACGTGTTGACAGCTAGTCTGTACGCCGCTTCATGATGCAGGCTTCGGAAACGCTGCCCGAGACTTGGAGTAATGTCTCACCGGTTTCGTTTGGGCACGTCGTCTGGCAAATGCCCAGGAACGCCACTGGCAAACACTGACGACAATAGCCTTGTTCAGAACGCATTTTCGAACTGCCTAGATGGAGGATCCCCCCACGTTTGTGCGAGTTTGCTTCCACTCAAATCTTGGTCCAGAGCCTCTGTCAGATGCAAAGATGAATGTAAACCCAGTCAGCGGTTGCGTCCCCCCGAAAACGCCTTGCGCTACTTTAGGGGCACATATATTACTCTGCAAGTCATCTGTCGGTGACACAATCAGTCCTCGCTCCGGGCATGCGATATGCATGACATGATTGCGGTGTGAGAAACACTGCAACAATGCACTGCACGATGCTTTTGATGCTTGGCTGGCACGGCACTGAGAGTGGTGGGCCTCCTGCAGGTGTGCTATCATTCGCGCATCGAGCCGCTCTCGCTGCGTGTTGAGAATTTGCTCGGTGCTACCACAGATTGATGTGAACCTCATCGAATGGCTTGTTTCGACGAGGTCCTTGGAAATTCTGATCCAATAATCAGCTGTATTGATTGCTGTAGGGCTTCTGGGGAGTTGTGTAGTTCCTCTTTTGTATAAACGTATGGCTTGTTCGCGTCCCCCTTCAGCTCGGATGAACTTCATTGTAAGGAAAAGAGAATTGAAAGACTGGAATTTGTAAGTGAGCTTGAGCTTCTGATGAGCCGTGTCTGATTTGTGACTGAACTCCACAAGGGCTGGGACAAGAACTGCAAATCATGGTTGAGAATTTGAACGGCAAGAGTGACGGGGAAAGGCCTTGGGAAAGGCTTTCTAATACTCCTGAACTTGACACCTGGGAGGCCGATGCGATTCCTAGTTCATTCGGTATGAATTGGCAAGGGGCTGATGAGGGATCATCTCCTGGCGTCTGGAATACTGGCGCTTCCGGTCATGATCTCTCTGAGCCCAGCTGTATCAACCCACAGCGGCTCATCGCGGGGGCAGCGGGAACGGACAATCCTCCCCAAGTTGTTCTAGGTCGGCAAGTTGCAGGACTCGGCTTAGCTGGCGGTGATCAGGTAGCGCTTCAAACTCCTTAGAGCAAGCTACCCACCTGTCAGAGCGAGACCGTCTTGCCTCGCCCTTCCCAAGATCACACTTCGGTGGCTGGGGAGTCATTGCTTCCGCTCCAATACCCCGAAAGCCAGCCATCCGCAACCGACGAAGACGATTCCATCTTCTCCTCTACTGACGCTGACGGCTCCGTGGAACGGAAGTTCAAGTTGTTGCCCATGCCGAAGTTGGGGAAACATGAATTCGCCATTGGCAACCGATTCTACTGCCCTTGGTCGGTTTGGAAGCCTCATGAAGAAATCTGCTTCGAATCATTCGACACAGCGGATGCCAGAAGGTGAGTCTGACATCGAACATCAAAAATTGAATCAAATGAACTGACAAAGCCTAGACGGCACCTAGAAGAAGAACACGTGAAGCCAGTCATTTGCCTCCTTTGTCTGAAGAGGATGGCTAGATCGCGAGATATGAAAAGACACATTGAATCTCATGCGATGGATCGTTCGCGTCTTCCATGTCCCAGCTGTTCTCGACAGTTCACGCGAGCGGACAATCTTCGTCGACACCAGAAAAGGGAACATAAGCAAGTCAATTGAACTGCAAAGATTTCAGGGATAGTCGTTGAAGAGAGCAGCAGAATAACAGTGATTGCTGATATTCAGAATAATTTCCATAAATTGAAAAGATCGTTGAATTATGCAAATCTGAGCCAGACTTTTCGAGCATTCTCAGGTACGGATGTGTACACGCAACGTGAATACTGCCTGATTTGCAGTCTGTATGGAGGGGAAAGCGTCAAACTCTAATCAACAACCAAAAACAAGTGCTAAATTCTAGGGAATTCAATAACGCCTCAAATCTGGACGCCGCCATCATAATCGTACTCAGACTCAAGATCCTCATTCTCCTCGTCCCGCTGGTCATCCTCTGAGTCGAAAGCGCCATCATCCACCGACTGAGTAATTCCAGTCAAAGAGTCGGGATGGGCAAATCCAATGGCCTGCTGTTGATCAATCACCAGAACAACCTCTCTGCCAATGTCATGGTTGACACTGATGAGAACATCGCGCTGCTCGGCCCATCCCGGCGCTGCCTGGCCAAGAGGCTGGAGGACCACTCCCCAGTTCGGCCACACCCTCTCGTGGGAGTCGGGCTCCACGCATGCTGCCGGGTGATGGCGAAAATAGAGCTTGCAGCACATGCAAGCAGGCTTGCTGGTAGCAATGTAGCGATCCCTCCCCACAAATACCAGTTTGTTGTCGTAGAAGTGGTGAAGCATTTGGATCTCTGCATGCACACTGGGTGCTTTTCGGTCCGGGCTGTGAAATTTCAACAGTTTGTCCTCAAGTTTCGTCTGTTGACTCATGTGAGATAGGTAGCTGAGCGAGCTTGTGAAGCGAGCGTCTTTGTTCCCGAGCCGGAAGATCCTCGTCAATACGCCACGCAGGTTGGTGTGGGCATCGGCCTGAAGCAGCGGCACTGAGGGCGGGACGGGTACAGCGGAGACCTCATACACGTCTAGTAGTCCGTCCAAACGAGGCCCATCATCCAGAAGCTGCTTGACCGAACGTATGTATGCTGCCAGGCGCCCGATGATGTGCCGGACTCGAGATAATGCAGTAGATATGTCCCCACCATGGATTGCATTGTGGGTTCTATGTCCGAGCCTCTCAATCTCAAGCATTTCCGGGTCAGTTCGAACCTTATAAGCAGTCTGGCAAATGCGATATATCTCACGCTGCCCCAATTTTGTGGACTTAAATTGAAGCAGCCACTTAATTAGGGGGGCACCTACATTCTCGTCAGTAAACCCGAAGATACATTTCAGTTTGAGAATGGGTTCTCACTCCGGTCATCAGTCGAGTGTACCAAAAGATGATCTCGGCACCTCTGGGCATTATTGACCAGACTATGTGCCTGTTTCCGCACTCTTCTGTGGGAAAATTGAACACACTTTCTGATCAGGTCGTCTTCAGCTTTTGCCCTATCGTCCCGACGGAATTTAAACGACTTGACATCCTCCAGCACCGAGCTCAAAAATCCAAGAGCCTCGTCAGACGGGCCTTGATTATATGAGATCCAAAAGACGTTACAATGAGGGAGATCTTGGACTGCGATCGACGCAGTACTGTCGCCTCCTTTTAGATTATCACACAGGAACGCGAGATTCTTGAGAAATCGTCTTCGTATGGCAACCAAGCTGGAGGGATCGAATACGGTGGCTACATGAGGTCCACGGACGTTTTCCAAGAGACATAGAAGATATAGAGCTTCATAGAAGCGGTAGATGAGCCGCTCAAAAGGATTGAGGCGTGGGGTCAAAGCCATGGCTGATGTTTTCAAAGAGCTGTGATGAATTTTGAAAGATTTCCTGGAAACTGTCCTGACAGCATCTCTAGAAAGAGGGAGGCGTTGAAACGGCGATTTATATACACTGATCAATTTCTCTCAATGGTTGTCTGTCAACTCACACGAGGTGGAGGAGGGCCTCCCGCATGATGTTGTCCAACCCGGATGAGCTGGGACGTTTCCCAATTCTATTTGCATGATGCATGTCGTCAAGTAGTAGGTCATGAAGGTAAGATACTCAACCAGTAAGACGCCGAAGTTAGCATCGTTGTACCACCTGCCCGGTCGGTTCCTCGTGCGGGAGGCCCACCAGCGTACTACCGACCTCATTGACCAGGCAGATGTGAACCGAACCCACCTGGCCACTTTTGCCCCCGAACTCAAATCCAGTAAATATGAAAGAATCGAGTGCTTGATTTTGCCAAATTCATATAGTGCAATTAAAGTTTCAAATTGAAATACATAGGATGCGCAAGCGAACTGGTTAGCGAGGAGAGAATGGCTGCAGAAGGTATAAGTCACTTAAATATGGAGCACTGCCCGAGTAGATAATTCCCAAGATCGTTAAAATGAACCAAAAATTTAAATTTTTCTTCTCAGTCACCTCAAAGTTTTCTCCATCTTCTGCTGGCTACACCACTCCGAAGCACAATAATCAGAGCCAACGACACCATTTATATGAGTCTGAAATGGAGATGCAATCCCAACAAGCATTTCTCCGCAGGCATGACTTGATTATACATGGCTTCGTAGATATTCGAGGGTACAGTAGTCTGGCAGATGACCTCGAATGTATCAAAAGCGCCGTAGAGTACCACAGCCCCGTGGCAACTCTGATGTTGTGACGCCGGAGCCGAAGAGCATGCAGACGTGGCTGGCCCAGTGGTGATTCACCAAACGAAATTTGGCTCGTGGATCCACTACTCAGAATGCTTTGTGTTTATGAGGGAGGCAAGATCCCTGAAGTCCAACCACCATCAAAGGAACTGGTTCGTGTCGAGTTCAGGTGAGCTGGTGAGTTTATCTGCTTCTACAATCAAGGGTGCTCGGCCTGAGGAATACCCACATCAAGAACTGTTAGCAAGGTTAGGAGAATCGACAGGCACTTTTGATCTCCACATGGTGTGTTGATAGAATAAATTTTATTCTTGAGTAAGCGCGCCTTGCCCAGGACCTGAGGAGCCGCCCTCTGCCCTGGCAGTGCAGTACATGGTTATCGTTCTGCGAAGACACACTCTGTTAGTCGACCAAGAAACCATCTACTAGACTATAGTCAAAGACACTGAGTTGTCAAAGCCAGTACAGTTTCAGTCTAGTGTCGAGTACTCGGTGCACATAGAGCATAATTATCCCAACAATGCCACATCTAGAATACGACCGGCACCTTTTCATCGCCCGTAAGCAATTTCCAGATGCCGATATTAAGCGACAGACGTGTTTAATATTCAATAAATATATACATAGACATTTGGCTATGATACAAGCGAGAGTTCGGGGTATCTTAACAGCAGAAAATGAGGCCGAAGTCAACGACCGTGTCCAGCATGCTTTACTTCCACGCTACTACCAACTTTGAGTACCAAGGGAATAACAAGCTCAGCAAGAAGCTCTTGTCAACCATTCAAGGTAACGACGCCGCCAGAAATACTCATATCGATCGTGTGCAAGCATCGCAGCGAGTTAGGGTTGGGAGCCGGACAGTTGGCATGGAAGAGCAGGGTGTTCCCCTGCGGCGTAGCCGTGGCTCCGCCGGGGGACTGGAGGCCGTAGGCGCCGGATGCCAGGAGCTGGCCTTTTCGCTGGTACGGGCCGGCGATGCTGCTGGACGTGGCGTACTTCACGTCATACTTCGGGTCCGTGAAGCAGTGGCTGGAATAAAATAGGACGTAAGTCCCGTCAGGGGTGCCGATGATCTGCGGAGCCTCAACTAGCGGGCCGTCGTCATCGATCCGGTCCAGGATTTGGACCGGCCCTCCGACAGGGGTCGTCCAGTCATTCACGTTCATTTCTTGGAGCATAATGGGCGTGGTGTGGATGGGGGCGACCCCGTTGTTACAGTCACCGCCATTGCCGACGCTGTTACCGTCCCTAGGCGCGTACTGTCAGCCGCTGCTGTCTTGTCATAGATGGTGAGCTGACTTACTCTTTGTAGACGATATAACGCTTGTTGTTCCATTGGTCGTAGAACGACGAAGAGTCGATAGCACCTCCAGTACTTGCGATGTCGGGACAAATTGCAGGACCACCCTGCGGCGTGTAGGGACCCTCAATTTTGTTTGACGTGGCGACACCAACACAATGGAAAGGCTGGTTGCTCGCCAGTGCACCCGAGTAGGTCATGATATACTTATGATCTTCCTCGGGGGGCATCCGTTTGACATCGGGTGCCCAGTTGTTCGATCCCGTAGTCCAGGAGCCACTGTTCGGCAGAGCATCATGGTCGAGAACAGTCCATGGCCCATCTGGTGTGTCCGCCACGGCCACTTGAATGTTGTAGCCGTTACCATTAGTGGCAAATGCATACCACTTTCCGCCATCAGATGGCCATGCCTTCATAGTAATGTTAGACGATATATGAGGTGCTCGACAAAATTTCACACTCACTTGTTCCAATGAAGGGTCAGGGAAGTCATAAGTCTCCCCGTTAAAAGCTGCAGTTATGGCTCTCTTGTCGTGGAAACTGCCCTTGGGCGAGATGGGAGAAGCAGAGACATGTTGCAGCAGTGAGGCCAGGAGGCCCAAGGCTGCGAGGCCACGGAAGGTCTGCATAGCAAGGGGAAGTGATGGCTGCCGAAGCGGGACGCAGCGGAAGTAAAGGAATGAGTAAGACCTTAAGAGAAGGAGGGCCACAAACTAAGGGTGTGCTATGGATCGAGCCTAATCAACCAGACTTTTTGGTCATGTCTTGATGATCCAGACATCCGTCGAGGATGTCAGAGGAGGACGGCATGGCGCCTTTTGTAGCACAGCGTCCTCCGCCATTCTACCAACCAACTTTGGTCTCGTGAGCCTGTCGTTACTTCCTCAATGACGGCATACTTGGGCAGGCAGTCCTCCTCCATTGCCGATCCGACTCTTGTCAGTCAGCCTGCAGGAGGTGGTAGTGATGGCATCGCCCCAGTCCACTGGACCAACGTTCCCAAGCGTACTTGGCCCGATCTGCGCGTGTCCCGGTGCGACTGCCATCAACAACAAGGCCAATGCGGCCAATAAGACGACCTTGAGCACGAGGGTAGGGCCGTAGCCTGCTTGTAGGAGTGGAAGAAGGTCTGGCGGTGGGCCGGCATCCAAGGAAGCCGGCTTGCTGTCAAGTGCAAGAGGATGTCCCTTTGTCGCTCGGCACAAGTCCGCAAAGACTGCAGGGCTAAATTGCCTCGCAGAGTCGCGTGGCAGGAATCTGCTAGTCTCGTGGCTCTGCGCTTGAAGAGTCGTTAGAGTAGGATTCGCAGGGCTGAGTAGTGTAGCTGCGGTGGACCTGAGTGATGTGTTGTTGGTTGCTAAAATCCGCTCCCAGCTCTCTCCAATCATGGATTCCCAAGAGCAGTAGCTCCCAACTGTCGACCTCGGTCAAGCGGCCGCTGATGTCGTTGGACGACCAGTTCCCCACGCCCTGGCCTCGATAATCTGACTGCCTGGCAGAGCGCATCAAAGTTGGCTGAGCTGACAGCGCCAGGAATCCCCCAAGGCATCCGGCACTGGTCTGACTTGGACTGGGATGTGGTGCTATGTCCGCAGAAGCAAGCATCTTGCCCAGTCCGGCGACTAGACGAGGTCCGGCGTGGTGGCAGGATGCACAAGGGCGCCTCTCCCGATGACTGCCGCAAAAGGCACATGGCGCGCTATGACTTGTCGGATCGCTTTTCAAAAGGTCGAATCATAGGCCATGCCATGCGTCGTGCTTGGGCTCGCAAGCCTGCACCTTCTGCGCGATGCGTCAGAGTGCGGATGCGACGCTGAGTATGTGTCGTGAGGACCCAGGTGACTGTGCTGCCGCCCTCTCTGCAGAGTCTCTTGCCATGTCGTCGAGTCCGGGCTCCCATCCGATGACCTATGCCAAGGTTGGCGAGCAGCAAAACTCCCGATGGCGCTCTGCCTTGCCGGTATTGGGTAGTTGTCTTAGAGCCTAAGCACATGCAGTGGGCCCTTGCCGTGCCGTGCTTGTGTATTCCCGGTCGCCGGCCGCCTGTGTTGCAATATTCCCGGTACAACGTCGCATGCAGCACAAAACACATGTTCTCGCTTCCAGATGTTTCCTCACATTAAATGAATCTTGGATCTTGACCGCTGACCCGGGAGACGGGGTGGCCCCCGCTTGTACATCAACACGTCGATCATTCGGCTTACTCACAATTAGGATGAACCTAGACATCATTTAAGCTTATGCAGTCGAACTTATAACTCAGGACTCGCTCGAGCCACTCAGGATGGGTAAAGACCACTACGATCGGCTAACATGGCCCAAGATGTGGGGCCTTACGTGCTGCCGGCGTCCTTGACCTTGACTCTGCCCGTCGAACACCTCCCCTACTCAGGTTCTGGGGAACTGCCCTCGTGCCCTTCTCTATGCTGTGTGCCCTTGACTCTTGCCATGTCAGCGCTCTACCCCAACCTGTCAAGTTTTTTTCGACCCCAAGGCTGCCAATAAGAGACTGACATATTGAGTGCCGATCACTTTAAGCCACTCATGATGGGGGATCATCCTCGTGACGTCCTCTTTCGACAGTTGGGTAGCATTCGAGAGAGACATCGCTCCCTATCGAGTTGACTCGAGCATCTTTATACTGGTCATTTGTTCAGCCACCGTGGCAACGAGTCGAGCGGATAGGCACGGCACTCTGCAGAAGCACACCGACGTCTGTACATGTCCTTAAGCCACTCGCAGAGGGTGGTTGATATGACCAAGTTCCTGCCCGATGTGGGCGGCGCCATCTGCCACATCTGCCAGTCATCCAGTCCCGCAGCACATCAATAACCACGGCAACCCTCATGACGGAGGAAAACCGAAAGAGCGTGACCTTGATTTGGTTGTCATAACGCTTTCAATATGAGTGCCGGGTCACATGGACCGGCGACTTTTCCGGGTTGTGGGTTGGCATCCAAATCCTTGAACCATGACTATCCGCTACTGAATATGTTCATGGTCGCTTACAATAGTCATTGCGGAGATCAGGAGATGTTTGCATCTCTATTGGCGCTGATGGCACCTGCGGTCATCTTCTCCTCCCGCAGGCCAGATATGACTGCTCCCATAGACCAGTCCTCAATGAGAACTGCCTAGCATCTCAGCCATATTTCCAGCATAGATCCCGAGACAACGCCGACGTGTAATCATGGTGACCAGGAGTCTGTGTTTGGGACAGCATGTGGGACTGTTGAGGTTTGCGGAGGTAGAGGTGTTATAGTAAGGTAAGGCTCTGGTTTAATCCATACCAAATGTCAGTCCAATTAGATCCTTGATAAGGCTGAGTAAGGATTTGAGTACGTAGATAGATCTAGGTTAAAGCAGGTAAACAGCCTAAATGGATCTCAAGCATGGCAATTTTAAGATCTACAAGAGTGTACACTCAAGATCTGATCTAATTTACTATACATCAGGGCAAGCGATTTAGATTAATTTGTGTAAAGTTAAATTGATTACGACCGAAACGAAGGATCAGCTATAGTCTTATCCCATATATTGTCATGTAAGTTGGAAGAGTATATAATCTGGCGAGCAATTCTGCCCCAGAGTAATGACAGCTAAACTTGGGGATTTGCTCAATAGCTTTTCCAGGGAAGAAGACAAGGATCATGACAATTAAGACTTCTAGCGACTTCACGTGACTGACATATATATGTAAGATGGCAATAGGAAACTCAAATGGAGACGAGCGGGTGGGGAGTGTCTCAGATCGGGAGACCTAGCTTAGAAGGTGTCAGCACGGTGTTGGGCGGACTAGAATGAATAATAGTTGGTTCTCACAGAGCAGCTGGTGAGCATCGAAATACAGACATCGTTGTTAAGAAAGCTTGCCTAGTTGAAAAGATGCGGTGGCACTGATTGACAGCGACTGTATCTGAAAGTCAATATTTAGAAATCTGACTGCTTCGAAAAAGGATCGCCTCGTTCAGACGTTGCACGATCTGAAAGCAGATGATCTCAACCCATGCTCTGATGTAGATGCTCAAGCAAGCAAACTTGACTTCACCATCATTTTGCAACACACAAGAAATGGAATTTTCTATTGAAGGATTCGGTTACTGTTCGATTATAGGATGATCGGTCTACTTCTACAAAGGTAGTGGTTCCGGCAGTGTTTTACAGGCTTAGGGCTCGATCCTTGCACTCTCTTCCAGGATGCTGTTTTGGGGCAGCGCCGTCTCTATCTTCTCCTGAGTCTCAGAATTGTCCTTGTTGACGTCCTACTTTCCAATTACCCACTCTTCGACGTCAAGAGGCTTCAAGGCAGGAAACGAAGCGCTCAAACGGCCACCCATTGACATGAGTCCCGCGAGCGATGCTTCAACATCAGCAAGAGTTGCCTCTGCTAGGCCTCCCTTGCTCGTCTGCTCCTCGACATACTGGTAATCGGCAAGGAAGCTGCCATGTTCCGCGGCAGGGAGAGGCCGGGTTCGCTCCAGGTCGATGGACGCGAGCGCTGACGCGGGGCGAACCTAGAGCCCGTCAGGCCCACGGTAGTTCTGGTAGGCGACGAGGTTGTTCCGGCGCACGACGATGACGTTTGTGGCTGCGGTGGAGTTGTCAATGAAATCGGCTGCGGCAAGTATTCCATCCTGCAAGAATTCTTAGCAATTTAGATCATGCTTGGGGCAACGATGGAAACTTGCATAGGTCTCGTAGTGAACCTTCCGAGGCGTCAATCTCAGGGGTATGTTGGCTGACTGAGCCTCGGGAAGCCTCTTATAATACCGCACCATGGTACCCAGAAGACTCAAACATTCGGGAACAGCCATGAGAGCGACCAATGTACGATAACCCCCATCGTGGAACGCTGAGATCAAAGAGCCGAAGGCATCAGGATGGCGGCATGCAGACTCGATGAGTACATCGACCTTCCGGTTGATGGCCCATTTGGTAGCGTGATCGAGCCATTTGCGGGCATCTGTGTTCGTGGCGGAGGATGCTAAATGGGGAGCAGTTTTGATGATCGTCGTGTATTCAGGATCTATTTCCACATTTAGCATCTTTAACACTGGCTTATGATTCAAGATCTGATGATGACAATGTATTCGTTGAGCTTACGATAGGTTTTGAAAACATCGGGGATGAAGTGTGCTGGTTGACGAGCTTTCAGTGCGCCGAACAGGTCACCAGCTAGACGAGTCTTTCCGGCTCCTGTCTGCCCCACGACGAAGATGACAACTGGTTGAACTCCATCATTTAAATGGCCGACGTCCTTGAGGTGCGCGAGCTTTTCTTGGACAATGAGCTGGTCAAAAATCTTCTGATTGATGCGGTCATCGAGTATGTAATTCTTTGCCTCTAAAGGCGTGGATGCAAAGTCCTTGATATTTGTAGCCATGATTATCGAAAAGGAGGATTGAAAGGGATAGTGGCTGCTCGGAATTAGCAATATGGAAGCGTGACGAATATCAATGTTGGAGGAAAATTCTGTGGACAAGGAGAAGCACTGAACTACAAAAACAACAGCCAGCAAGGGGCCCAAGAGCAGGTCAAGTGGCAATTGGCGACTGCCCGTAGAGAGGCCGAATGTGTGTTGCGCTTGCACTGGTAGGTTCGTCGTTGCCGTTTAGGTGCCTCGGATGAATATGATTACAATCATCATTTCTCAACACAGCTCTACCAGGAGACGTTGTTATATCTATATATTCGTCTTGTGTATTTGTTAGAATGGAATGATCAAGTGATCCAGCTCAGGAAGATTTGAGAAGAATAGGACCGAAGTGAGACATCTACTTGTATATGGCAGGTGAAATGTGTCGAACTCCCCATGAGATGCCGGCACCCGTGGCCGCTTTATCAAACAGGACAAGGCTACCCTCAGCGACTTGGACACTCAAGACAGCATTCCCGAGTGAGGAGAACACTTCTGACTAAGCTTTCATTTTGTTCATTGGGCTTGAAAGTTCTCTGTGACTTTGCATCTTCCAAATCCTCGTAGGGCAACGAGCGTGCCTCTGGCAGCAGGGGAGCTTTATCAGACAGCGATGCTGTATAAGACAATTTATGCCGGATAGTCCTCTTCACTCCCTACTCCTTGAAAAAGGCAAAACCCTCTCTGTACGCTCGTCCAAAGGCACACCATTCTCGCCTCGCCGTTTACTATGACAGCTTGGCCTTCTTGACTCAATCGAATACGGTATCATTGGCAATGGCAGCAGCTGTTGTCGCAGCTTGAAAGCCAAAGGGCGGATCAACCACTCCTACACCAGTTCAAATGAGACGTTTACTGAACACTAAATTTCGGCTGTTAAATTTCTCAGTTGAATTAGATTCAGAGAGTGATGGCTGTGCTTTACAAGCCATCTAATTCTTGTATACCCGCGCTCACGCGGTGTTGACAGATGTTAGGAATGGAAGTGACGTGAACCAAGGGGGCAATTATTCAAGGGCTGCCGCGCGACGAGAGCCCTCGGAAGAGGACTTAGAACCCGAAGCGTCAATAAGTCGTCCTCTTCAACCCTATTACTCTAACCTTCGAACACGAGAGTGGGTTGAGATAGGGTCGGGTGCATTGTCTATCGATATATCAGACAACCTTACAAACTCTACGGCCGCATACGAAGTAAACAGATTGCACTTGTAGAACATGACTAGATGCCATGGTTACCAATACTTCAAGGAACTTCAATATTAAGGTTATTTTCACAGACAGGCCACGCCTTCAAACACAGCGACTGCAGCCTCAAGGGCCCCTTTTGGGCAGCCCAATTGGGGCCTGGGCGAGGTGGCGGCATAGGCGTGGAATGTTCTGGCAGATTTTAATATATGAGGACAAGAATAAGAACGACTGTAGACAACGGTTTCGTGGTGTAGCGGTTATCACGTGACATTCACATCAAGGTGGATTAAAACTCCTGTAACTCGTTTACAGTGGTCTGTCAAGGTCGCCGGTTCGATCCCGGCCGAAATCAATTTTAGTTTTTTTTTGTTATGCCTTCTTATTACTGTTAAATCTACTCTATATTTAATAAAATTGCCATTATACGGAGTTATAAGGACTTGAAACAAACAAACAATATGTTCTTTAATGTAGAAAAGACAATAAAAATTTAATTTTATAACCTTTGGCCTTAAATAAACCAGAGGTTTTGTTAGGAAAAGAGGTGGTGCAATTTGGATACACGAATTTACCTGGGTAGGAAAGAGTCATGTGTAGTACTAGGACATCCAGTTCTTAGGCGTCATGACCCAAAGGTATGATCTGGAATGAAAGGCTTGCTCCAGCCACATCCCATCCGGCGAACTCATGATAACGCATCCCTTGTACATTGCTACATAGGGAAGAATGCTGCCATCCACAGCTATACATAATGATCAAGAGAAACTTGTGACTTTTGCGAGCTCGAAGCTCCTCTCACCTAGGATTGGCACTGAACTCACATAGCCTCGCATTCGCAGCAACTAAACTCCCGAGGCAAGTGCGGCTTTAGCATAGATCTCATCTGGACCGTCAACCGCGGTGGGACCAAATTGACCGACAGTCGCAAAAGTCTAGCAAAGGAAATATTAGCCATCGCCCCCGTCACACACGATGGAAGTGGCTCTGGAAAAGATCAATCTCGCTCGCAATCGTTTGCTGACTTCATAATGTTTTAGCAGATCTCCCGAGACAATCTATTCTCGAGCGAGTCACCAATGCCTAGGTGCACGTTTGATTGTTGAAAAGAACTCGAAACTATTGCTATCTTTGACCGAGCGAACTAGTACCATAGGCGATCACTCACAGCGTTTCGTAGGATCTGTACTATGGTACTTGCCCTGCAGCCCATCGGCATGCATCTTGAAAGGTGTTTAAGATGTCGTCTCGGCTTCTGATTCTGTCCATGTCGGGCGGTCTTGAAGGAATCCGCCTGAGGCGCTACAGGTGACAATCGGCAGGAAAGCTAGGATTCAGGTAAGCCTGATCTCTATGTTGAGTCTGGATACAATTGGTATTGATTGTTGATCGGTAGAAGAGTGAATGACGGGGGAGATAAATTGAACGAATTCCGCATACAAAGGAGAACTTTTGCGCAGCAAGTAGGACATGGGTATAGCAGATCCCTCACGCGAAGACCTGCGATTTATGGTACGAAGCCCAAATAAACGGTCCCGTCCTATTTCCCATTACTCCTTGTCGACATTAGTTGAGCCATATGTAGGCAGCATGTCCCGTCTAAAACCCCCACAACTTTCCTTCCATGTACAGCCTCGAATAGCACATAGCCAGGCTCGGAAGGTGTCAATCAGACTATTGTCACATCTGAATACTTTTGCAAAGCAAGTGTAGCACAGCATTGATGGTAGGGCAAGACCAGGACTTTCCCACATGTACCAAATAAGCCCGTCTCATCAGAAAGACTTGAGATAATGGAGAACCAAGATGACCATATCATCCAGGTCCAGCTTGCAGATATCCCTAACGGCCGAGTACGGAGTGAATGGCACACATGTTCTGTGGGACAAGCTTTCCACGATACTGTCTCGTGCCTCATCTTCACTAGTTCCGCATAGGTTGGGATCTGCCATACGGCAATAAGACGGGCATGAAAGCCGATCGCCTGGGCTGGGCATCGGCAGTGGGCCTTTTTTGCGGGGGCGCGGCCGCCGCGTGGAGTCCCGAGACACCCGGTCGCCGGTTGCGGCTCGGAGGCTCATCAGTGGGCATTTCTCGGATTGGGGCCATCCTTGCCACGAGACCCTCCCTGGGCGATCGTTGGGCGAGACGTGCCTCCTCGGCACTCGCGCGTCCTTTTCTGAAGGGGAAAGATCCCTTCCTCCTCCCGGGTGAGAGGAAGTGTTGTTAATTTTTAGAGCGGACGAGGTTTTGCTAAATAGTTGACGGCCCTCTTTTCGACATGCTATTTCTCACTCACTTGTTTTAGCCTCAATTTTTATCTCTAGACATCGATAAGTCTGCGGTTGATCCTGACCTCAGAATTACGTAGACAATTTTCATCAACAACTTTTCGTGGGCTCGTTTGCCACGACTGTGCAGATACACAATAAGTAATAAAGACAACAAGAGCTAGAGGTGTGGAATCTCGTTGGTCGCATCTGACTATTACGCATCAGTCTTCCAATAAAGACACCAAGTCTCCCCAGAAGATGGTTAACAGAGCAGCTGCCAAGCTCCGAGCACAGCTCGCAGACAAAGACAACATCATCGTCTGCCCCGGAGTACAAGATGGCCTGTCGGCACGCGTATGCCTCGACGAAGGCTTCCAGAACCTCTACATGGTGAGCTTTCCGGCCTCGAACCTGACCCATACCATACAATTCACTAACAACCCCCTTCAGACCGGCGCAGGCACGGCCATGAGCGTCCTAGGGATGCCAGACTTAGGTCTGACGACCGTCGACGACATGACCAGGAACGCAGGCATGATCGCAGGGCTCGACAGGACAGTGCCCGTAATCGCGGACGCTGACACGGGCTTCGGCGGCCCGTTGATGGTCGCGCGGACGGTGGAGAAGTACGTGGCGGCGGGCGTGGCGGGTCTGCACATCGAGGACCAGGTGGCGACGAAGCGGTGCGGGCACCTGTTGGGCAAGGAGCTGGTCGATCTGGCGACGTATGTGGCACGCATCCGGGCCGCGGCCGCGGCGCGCGAGGCGCTCGGCGACGACATCGTCATCATCGCCCGCACCGACGCGCTGCAGTCCCTCGGCTTCGATGCCGCCATCGAGCGGCTCAGGGCGGCGGTCGAGGCCGGCGCGGATGTTGCCTTCCTGGAGGGCATGACCAGCAAGGAGCAGATGGCTGCGTGCGTGGAGGCGATGGCGCCCACGCCTTGTTTCTTGAACATGGTCGTTGGAGGTGTCACTCCCTTGGTGGACAGGAATGAGGCGAAAAGGATGGGTTACAGAATCGTGATATGGCCGATTTTCTCCATGACGGCTGCGCTGCTGGCGTACCGGGAGGCTGCGAAGGAGCTTAAAGAGTTGGGGATGAACAAGGAGAAGAGGAACGAGAAAGGTGAGCTTCTAGGTGGTGTTAGAGAATGTTTTGAAATATGTGGCTTGACCAAGTATTCTGAATTCGACAAGGCAATGGGAGGTCAGGCCTTCTCGAAGGGTGTGTAGTGGACGACACGCCCCTCTCATGCTGGATCCACCACATGAGGTTAGAGAAGGAAGCCTCCAATCGAGAGCCATTTTCTGCGGAAGGAGTCTCACCTTTTTATCTGACCGACTGCGAAGGACTCCTCAGACATAGCGTTTAGCAGTGCAAAGTTTCTGTCGGCAAGACCCAGTAAAGAATGTTCAAATTGCGGTTGTCACATCAAGGCAAAACACGAGTAACTCGAAACTGTACGTGATGGTCGCCTTAGTGACGATGTATTTGATGCTCGTATGTCGAGCTTCTCGAGCATACCTAACCCAATTGCTTGAGTGAATACTGCTTTCCAGGAGCGGTGTCGCAAGTCCCGTCCCACTAAGTCGGCCAAATGTGGTAACCCAGTGAGTAGACAGTCTAATTCAACACACCTCGGGGGATTGCGCCTGAAGGATTGATGAAGGCCAACCCCCTCAATTGTGTCACTGGGCTGATACCCGATCGATCTCAATCTCTGGTCTGCTGTCCGACAGCGAATCCAGTGGTTCCGTATGCCCTTAATTCCCTTATCCACTCCATAACGCAACCTTGTGCCCGTGTGCCAATCTCGAGGACCATAAAAGGAAAAGACGGTCTTGTGACCAGGAAAGATGATCAGAAACCAGCTTCTCTACTGCTTGAAAAACCCAGAGTGCCTAACCTGCCACCCTCACGCCGAGGACTCCTGAGCACACTGTGCTGACGAAAGAAAAAAGCCCGTGAGAAAGGGACTGAAACAATTACAATCAAACATAACATCGAAACGCAGTATGCTGCGTAGCATCAACCAGAAAGCTGATTTCGAAAGAAAAGAGGCCTAAGTAATGAGGCCAATGGTGTTTCTCTCCGATGAACTCCGAGACCAAATAGCAATGCGGCCTGAAATAAGACCAGGAAAGTGATGTCGTAGGATGCGTCGATGCATTTTTCGTCAGTCGTAAGTGTTCTGTAGCTGTCTTATGAAGTATGGGAAGGCACGCTTCTAGGTGTCACATCACCACTGCGACGTCGGACGAGATCTTGTTGCTGTTGTTGCTGGAGCTTTGTGGCACTCGCAATCATCCGCATCTTCTTGCGAACAGAGGCAAGCCGACCTGTGATCATGGTGATCACTGTTGTTTTTGTCAGTGAATGCATCGTCTTGGGGCTTGGGAATTATTACTCACACTTTTGGACAGCTTGTTGATCGTCCGTGTTGATGTCGGAGGCAAGATCCTCTTTTGTCACACGCTCCTCTTTGGTAGACCCGGAAATCCGCCTCTTAGGAAGATCTTCGTCATTATCTATCACGGCCTCCAGCATACGAACCGCTGTAACATAGGAGATCTCGCAGCCCGCAAGGTCTTCATTGGAGATTTCGTCGATCGCTGCCTTGCGGCTCATCTCCACGGCACGATCGTACATAAGCTTTTCAGCACTGATCCCAGGCGTAATAACCACACCGTCCACGGTCGATCCGCTCGTTGATGCGGGGTCCATCGGATGGTTGCTGGGATGGCTGGGGTGATCCTCTGGCAGTGTTTTCTGTGCATCGATGAGCTTTAATCGCACAACTTCGGCCTTTTCCAAGACTTCGTTGAATCGCGACCGGACCCACTGCACAGCCGAGTTGATTCTGGTAATGACGACTTGGATATTGTTGGGGTCTCGGGCGGATGCTGGACCACTTGAGGATTCCGCTCGTGTTCTCCTTGACCACCACAGACTGGCAATGTCCATTGACTTGGCAAGAAGAGATAGAGCCTTGACGTAAAGCACCAGGGCTTCTTCTGAAAGCGCCACCACCGCGTCTGTAGTAAGTATGTCATCATCCTCAGAAGAGGCCTGGTCTGCCGGTACACCACCAAGACCATGGTTCGTTGATGGCGTTAGTGGCACAAGCTGCTTATATTTCACCTCAGCAAAACCATAGACAACATCACTCCGTGTGGCGTAGTCCTCGATACACTGAGCAACCCGAGAGTCCTCATCGTAAGGCGCACTTTGCTTCCCATCGCCAATCAAGCCCACAGGAGCTGACGGTGTGGGATAAGCAGGAAACGCACTGTAAAGTTGAGGTGGAGAGGCGCCTTTACCAAGGCCGGGTGGATACTTGATACCGAGAAGTCGCAGACTTGCGTCTTGGATGGCTTTAGATATGAAGGACGTGGTAGAGCCGGGGCTTGCGCTCAGAGAAGACTGACGCTCATGAGTATTGGGCCGCTGTCTTCCCTGGGCGATCTGCATGGCTCGAGAAGGTGATGGTGCCACGGCACCAGTCGTAGAATCTGGGGCACCCTGCGTTGTTGTCCGCCGCACCATTTGTCCGGCCTTGGGTGAGAGCCCCTGTGCATGCACCATACGTCCATTGGCCGCCAGTTCATCGGCCAGAGCATTGACCGCGACCTGATTCTTGTCCACGAGTACATAATCACGCTCAAACGCAATCTCCTGACGAGCTTTCTCCTGCTCGTCGAAGGGAGTCTTTCCTCGACTTCGTGGAAGTTCTCTCGCAGCTCCTGCTGGTGCGGCATCGCGGGCGAGTTTAGTGGCTGATGCATTAGATAGAGCGCGTCGACGCGCTTCGTTTATGGCCGGTCTTGTCGGAGCGGAAGATGACGGCACGGGTTGGGGTCGCCGTATGCCGAGACCCTCTCCTGTGTCTTGTCGGGGGGAATAGCTGAGACGAGGGGAAGCAGGGCCGAACTTGTCTTCCGCTTCAGTGGGAGTACCGAGTGGTGACCGTCTATATGGCTTTTCGATCGGAGACGAAACGCCCTCGGCTCTTCCTTGGTCTTGATCTGTACCGTAGCGTCGTATCGACAGTCGTCGAGGAGCTGCCACCGGCTCATCTGTCTTGACGGTGGCCCTAGCATCCTGCAGCCTTCTCGGCTCGACTGGCTTGGGTATGTCATCCTCGACAAGCCCAGGTATTTCACTTACGACGACGGGATGTGAAAAGAAGTTCTCAAAAGAAATCCGCTCAACAGGATTCCTCTTGAGGAGTGCACGGATGAGAAGTTTCATGTCGGACGAAAGATTGCTTTCCCTTGGGAACTTGATCGAGTCGTTTGAAGCCTCTATCTTTCGTAATAGCTCGACATGGTTGCTTGCACGGAAGGGCGGCCTGCCCGCCGCCATCTCGTATAGAACTGTTCCGACGGACCACAGATCAGCCTTGGCATCATAGCGTTCGTAACGCAAGATCTCAGGGGCCATATAAAGCGGTGAACCGCAGAGCGTTTCGGCGAGCGATGTGGAGGGTAGCACGCGGGCGAATCCGAAGTCGGCGAGCTTCAGCATGGGCAGAGATCGCAGTCCAACCGCAGGTATGAGGCTGTCCTGGCTTGCACTGAGGATCTGTGGCACTTCTCTGTTGCTCTCTCGGAAATCGACGGATGGTAGAAGGAGCAGGTTCTGAGGTTTCACGTCTCGATGGACCAGATTCAGACTCCTCAAGAACTCGAGCGCACTCGCTAGCTGTTTGAGAAAATGACGGATGATGACCTCGTTCAGGCCAGCGTTGGGCGTGTTTGGGTATTTCCGCGCCATATCGTGGGTAGCTGGATTTGTTGAAAGCAGGTCCCTCTTCTTGATGAAAAGCGACAGGTCGCCGAGAAGGCAGTATTCCATCATCAGGTTGATGTGAGTTGGTGTCTCGACGCATTCGTGGAGGGCGACGATGTGAGGATGACGAAGCTTCTCGAGGATCTTGATCTCAGAGTAGAGGTTGTCCTTCACCTTGCCCTTGAGCTTCCCAAGTTCGACGGATTTGATAGCGACAGCGGCGCCGGAAGCCTAAGAGGAATAGGCAAGTTAGTCTTGACTCTTCTAACCGCCTTCGAGAGCCATGGGCAGCGCGCGAAGGACAAGACAGTAAGCGAGACCCAGCTGCACCGAACCAAGAAGTGCTGTCACTTTGGAATAGCTGACAGACACGGACACAGACTTCGACTGAGGGAGCGAGGTACTGACCTTGTGAGTACCAACGTAGACAGAGGCGAAGCTGCCCTTGCCGATCTTGGAACCAACGGCCCACTGGCTCATAGCATCGGACTGGGGCCGCGAGCGCCCAGAAGCGGAGGGTTGAGAAGCCATTTCTTCCTGAGGGAGTTGACGAGACAGGAAGATAGCTGTGTTGACGTAGAGCCCGTGGGCCTAAAGGGGTAGGGACTCGAGAGTAGCCGTGGTTGCCGTCATGTACACATGTAGGGGCTGGTATAGGTGTGAGTAGGATGGGCCGGTCCTGGTCTGTGAAGAATACCCAAGGCGGGCGTTAGCCAGGAAAAAGATGGATGAGAAAAAGACGAAAAGAAAAGAGAAAGGAAAGGCAAGGCAAGGCAAGACAAGCAGAGCGTTTGGATGATGCTGCTGCGAGGTCGATGGGTAGAGGAACGGCGGCAGGCAAGGATCCGATTCGATGTCGATGCAATGCAATGCTTCCGACGGAGAGGCGATGATGGGGTGGGCACGCACCGGGGGTCGAGGTGGAGTTGAATGTTGGCGCAGGACCAGGGCAGGTCGTGCGTGCAGCAAGACAGCAGGTACCTCCCTATGTGGAGTTGGAGAGGTGCAAGCTAACAGACAGGGGCCCTGGGCTGGGGCTGGGCTGAGCCGTGAGGGCCTTGCCGGATAAGGCAGCCTAGGCAGGCTGGGTAGGCTCGTAGGTAGGCACGTTGCGCTCGAGGCACGATACGGTGAGGGCGATGCCAAGGCACGCGCTCTGTCTTTTTATGTCCTCGAGACACAGACAGTCGAGACGAGAGCGTGGGGATGAAGTGGCGGGAGTGAGAATCGAAAACGGGGCGTCGACAAAGGGGACCCGATCGCAGCTGTGACAGCGTCCGGTGACTATCTGTACGCCTGGAGAAAGCGAAGGGGGGGTCTCGAGTTAGCAAAGGTGTGCGCAGCAACAAACGGAACGGCACTGGGAGAAGACGTCAGGATGTCGCGACATGGCGCAGAGATGGCACGTCTTACCCGCAAATCAATAGGAAGGAAATGGGCAGTAAGGTGTTTAGGCGATGTCTCCGAATACAAATGAATGACTCAGAAGGAGAGAGACGGCGAGTGCTTGGAGGAATGTTGCGAAACAGATCACACACTGGGCAGTCGGAGTGAGTGATAAAGCTGGGGGGAGAGTAGAGAGTGGTGGAGGAAGAAGTGCTCGGGTTGAGGAGAAGAAGCAGGTGGGAGTCAGACGAGAGAGGCTCGATTGATGGATCGATTGACCGACTGGTTGGTGGGTGGTGGATGGTGGGTGGATAGGACTGTTGGGGCGTGAGTAGGATGTGGTACGTACGGTACGGTACGGATGGGTTACTACCTGTGTTTTCTCCCGTGCTGTGCGAAAGAGGTATATCAGGAGGAGTCATCTATCTTGCGCAGCCCAGTAGCCCCGGATATTGTATATACCACAGTAGTGCCAGCTCTTGGCCCAGGGCCAGGTCAGATCTGGATTGAGGGCATGATAAACAAGGCATTAACTAGAAATTAGCCCAACGGCGCAACACCTGAAGAAGCCTAGATGCCTCAGCCCGCCCCAAAGCCTGTCTGAACAAGCACACACCCGCACTGCTTTGCGCGCTGCGTACGGCGGGTGAGCGACGCAGGTGAAGGTGACCCGGAACCTCGTGATGCGAATGATGGAAACAGTGGCCAATGCCATCCTTGCATCCACCTGCGCAGGTGTGACTCCCTGAAAGCATTGCCAGGGGGGGGTATGGGAAGACTTGCAAGGGGGCATGGGTCAGAGGGAGAGAGAGGGTCTCTCTTGTTGAGTTACACCTGGGCTCCCGCGCCTCTCCCTCTAGAGTTCAGATGTACCTAGATACTGCTAGCCTAGACATACTGTGTACTGCCAGCGCTGCGGCAGGAAGGGCAAAGCAACTACTGTAACTGTGCCGTCGCAATCGAGGCGATGGAGATAGCACATGTGGTTCTGTTGGCTGATCAAACATGAGACGGGCGCTAAAGCTGCTTGGTCTCAGGCGACCCGGCCTGGACTTGGCCTGATCAGAGCACGCCTGCTCCAAACAGTCAGACAGTCTGCAGTTAGGCCGGCCAGACGGCCCAGTCCAGATCGAGGAGCCTCCAGGGTGCAGGTGCAGACCCACGACTGGGGGGAGTCTGGGTGGGAGTCACAGCCTGGGGCAGATAAGCCAGTTCTCCACCCTGCAATGTCACGATAAGCTGGCGCGTCCAAGCCGGGAATAGGCCAAGCCCAAAACCGCGGGTGAGCCTGCAACCACTGTAACAGCAACAGTGCCATTGCCAGCTCCAGCACCCGAGCTTGATCAACCACAACAACACTGAACAGACACTCAGCTCCGTCTCGAATAGAGCACTTCTCACAGGCTGATGTTGTTCTTATACCCTTGACTGCAAGTCTGCATCACCTCAATGCTCTGCTCCTGGCTGTTCCATGCCGTTGACCCGAGCGCAACTCGTTGGTTGACAAGAACACCAAACCAACCTTTCAGTCTGCCACTGCCACTGCTACAGCTCCTGCACGATCCTGACTTGGATTATTGAGTTTGTTCTCTATTATACTTCCGGCCCACGGCCAATACTCACCACACTGGAGCCTGGGTGTCTGAGGACCGCCGACCTGATCCCGTCACTGGTTGCCAGTTGGCTGATTTCTGAAGACAAACAGAGAGACAGCAGCCCCACACCCATGGCCAGGACCCTTGATGCCGAGGACATCAACACGCACAACACCGTCGCAGCGATAACGGAGCTCTGCTCTCCTTCCCTTCCCTGCAACCTCAGTCACCTTGATGTCCTCACCCATGGATCCTCCGAAGCCTGTCATATGCAATTGTACCGTTGGCACAACGTTTCTGCACTTCCCTGGCGTGTGCTCCCAACAGACCCCTGGAAATCGTCCTACGCCCTTGTGAAATAGCCGCTGCAGTAATTGGCATTACCAGGAGAAGCGAGATCGCACCTGTCGTGCTCAGCTTTCCATCAACAGTATCACCTCAAACCCCGGTTTTATTCTATCGGGCGCACCGGTTCAATCAACTGCTGCCAGACCGGGAGACGCCGTCTACGAAGCAGAGCAATCTTCACCGCAAAGGTGGCCCCAGGGTCGACCAAGGAGACTACCCTTTTTCGATGTCTGGCTGAACGGGGCTACCTGTTGATGTTATAACGCCTCTCTCTCTCATATGCAGCCGGCAGCAGCAGAAGCCCCCGTCCTATCCACAGAGGTGCCTATCAAGCAAGCATCGCTTCAACGGATGCCTAGTGTCGTTGATCGCTTCCTCAATACCTACATACATGCCTATTAGCAGCAGACTACTGTGTAGGCAGGCTGCAGTACAACCTGACAACCCACCACATCTGCAGATCCCTTCGATGACACAAAGCACTAGCACTACCGCTTTGTACTGCATGGTACACCACCACCACGGCGATCCGGCATTGTAGGCGCCTCGCATCTTCTCAGTAGCTCTGCCAAGCATCAACGGTCTAATCCTCAATGATAACAACGGGCGCATCATGACTCTCTGACATTGACCGCCCAAGCAGGTGTGTCTGATAGGAATGGGTTCTCTCACCACGTCAGCAGAGGCTTGTCTTGCAAGCGAGCGAGGTCAGTGTCCGACTTCGTCTACCAATTTGGCCTCAAGTGTCGTTGTTTCCTGTCGTCATACCTATTGTGGAGCCAACCACCTGATGGGATCCCGGGTCTGCTCTCCCGCGCTATTGGCTTGAGGCGCCCTAGATTCTTGAGACAGCTGTCTCTACTTCTTCCAGGTCGCGGCCCACTTGGCCTCACCGGCACGGGTACCCCTGGGGTCCTGCAGAAGTGGGCGTTTCGATGTCTCAGTCGCTTCTGTGGTTCCTGCTGGTCTTCTGCACCGATCCGCAGTCAACCAGCATCTGCTTCAACCCAACCCTTGATGCCAAAACGGTCGGAATCGAGCGGACCAGAGGAAAAGCCCATTGCGCTACATCGAACATATTCCTCAGACACTGCGTCCATTTCTTACTTCTCGAGTGTCCAAGAGCGCGAGCTGTGTCAATAACATCCAAGCTTCAAGACTCCAGCCAAGCGCGAACATGCTCAGGCACGCAAACAAAGAGATAGACACGGCTGCCCAGTCCAGCCAAGCTTCGAGAACATTTCCGTTGGACTAGCCAATTTTTTATTCCGTCTTCGAGTCAGAATTGAAGGCGGCCAGTATATCAAGATTTTCACATCATGAACCTACTAGATCGACCGGCTTGCACAACTTGCGAGTCATTTCCTCGAACTCTGATGTGCTCTGCAGTTCTCGCCTCCTGAGGAGCCACAGGTCGGATTGCTACGATGATCGTCGGCTCGACATTAGTGGAGCCCCCAACATCAGGCGAAAGAGCTCCGCCGGCACGGAAAGTCGCTGCCGCTGGCAAAGCATATGGACTTTGCTGCGCGCCCAGACAGAGATATGCTCATTGCACGCTGAAGATGTGTTCGTTCTCCATTGCTCAATGCCACACCCTCCACGGCCCCTCCGTGCAGGCGTGCAGAACATCGACACTGCTTAGACTAGTCACGATTCGCACCACACAGGTGTTCACTAGGTTGGTACCCATCCACGCCGGATAGATGGCACGGCCAACCAGCAGCCACCCAGCCTGCAGTACCTGGAATCCAACGTGGTGTAAACAAGGAATAGCCCAGGTACCTCCCAGGCCACCAGCCGTTTCCTTTTTGTCCTGTTGTAAGCCATCCCACCGCACCGCAGGCGATTCCACAGCATACATACACAAGCGCACCACACAAGCACATGTGCACACACCCTTTGCTCGGCGTAGTCATTAATGAGGCGAGCTTCCATTCCCCGGACTCCGTGACTGGTCTGGACGGCATAGCGACACGCACAAATCTGCATGCAAGCAATGCATTGCAGCAACGTCAAACGCCGGGGAAGGAGGATTGGAGGGGGGGGGGAGGTGCGAATGTTCAGCCAGCCTAGCCAGCCCCCCCTTCATGCTGTTATTCACAAGCCGAGCAGTGGCCTGTCGCCTCCCACATGTAAAGTGGGTGCGCGGGTGTGGGTGTGATACAAGACCAGTACGTGTAATATGCAGCTAGACCAATG